TTCCGATGCTTACGCATTAACACAGTTCGCGCCACCTCCACTGGCAGTCTCCAATCCTTTTCAAGTGCCAACACGCAAATAAAGTGGGCCATTAAAACTTTTCAACTACACAAATCTCCAGGTCTGGACGGCATCATTCCTGCCGACATCCAACAAGGCGAATTTGTCATTCTTCCCTGGCTTCTGAGTATATATACAGTTGTCTCAAACTCATGTATGTCCCACGTTGCTGGAGAAGTGCTCGAGTAGTATTCATTCCCAAAACAGGGAGATCGACACACTCCACCGCCAAAGATTATAGGCCCATTAGTGTGTCCTGCGTCCGTCTGAAAGTACTAGAAAGGGTTCTTAATCTTCATAAAAGAAACACTATAAATCCCGGACTTTTTTCTTTATCACAGCATGCATATACTAAAAGCAAGCCTGTCGATACGGCGCTTCATGCACTCATTTCACAAGTTGATCATTCCATCTGTTCAATCATGAACATGAATTATTACGTTATGACTCCCGGCAGAATGTTCAATCATGAACATGAATTTAAATATTTTATTATTATAATTTACTATAATAATTTGTATTATTATAAATCCATTATCACCCAAATTCTTAGAATAATGTACTAAGGAAAAATATAGGTAAATAGTAAGATTTTTGAGCATCCGTATCTAATTATCACAATAAAATATATTCGTAAAAACAATAGGAGGATCATCCCTAGTGTTGGGACTTCCGTCCTTTTTAACCTTTTGTTGCAAACAATAAGAAAATGTAATACAGTCCATTAAAATCATATTATTTTAACCTTGATGTAAAAATTAGTCTTAAGATAATTTTGTATATATACACAACATTGTTTTAAATAAAATCAGTAACTACAAAATATTCAATCAGTGTACGTCAATAATATAATAGTACATTTTGGTCCTTCGACCCGGATATAGCAAGAGTGCTACATTCAAAGGAGAAGTGAAATAAAATAAAGAATCCACAAGTGATCCCTCACCAATGGTAAGACACTTGATTATATAATCTAATTTTGGAGCCTTACAAACTCTAAAATTCGAAAAATAAATCTATAGTTTTCACCCATCAGTGGTAAGAAACTATAGAAAATCAAAAGCATTGTCAGGGCAAAAGACTAATAAAAATAACAATAAGCATCGTAGCTGCAATAGAGCAGAAAAAGCAGCAAGAGGTGACTCTGTGGGAATACTTAGTTTCAATTGCTTTTAATAAAGATTTAATTTCAATTTCATTAATTTTTAGGGATTCATTGAATTCGTTTTGTATTCTTTTAAGATGTTCGTATTTTTAATCACACTTTCTTATATTTTTCTCAAAGTAAAGTATATGTTGGATATGTTGCATATAGTCTTCACATATAAAATTTATCATTTTATTATTTAAAATATTAATATTAAATTGTTTTACTCATGACACTTATCCTCACTGATTCCTATATGACACTTATGGCATTCTTTCATTTTTAAATCATATGTATTATATATTCAAAACAATATTTTCAATACTGTATTTGACATTTAACTGACTATATCAACAAACTATATTTCCTTCTATTTATTCAATTACACAATTAACAATTGCTTTTTGTGAAATAAAAATGTACCTTCCACAACACTAGTTTTTGTTTTTATTTCAAGCTGTAGCGACACTTTTCGTCGCTCCTTTCGCCGGGGTAATACTCAGGGGTTGGTCCTGGCTCGTTACAATAAATTTTTAAATAAGGAGACAGTGTTCAATTTTAATATTTGTTTATTGTGATGTTCTCTTAAAACTAACAAAGTTTATTTGTTAATATTTGTATGAAAATTGATATTTATTTTATTTGCTGAAATTATAATGAAAATTACGATACGGTTACAGTATAGTAATATATAAATACTATTATTCGTATTATACTATTATACTATTATTCGATGTAGCTGGTGTATTGTCTTTGATACCTGTTGCGGAAAATTGCTTATTTGTTATAGACGTTGTTATCTATGGACGTGTTCACGTCTATATATGGTTTAGCATCTGGGATATAAACGTGTTCACGCTTATGTACGGTGGTGGTAGGAGGAATAAAACGTGTTCACGCTTTATATTATGATTTAGTAACAAGATATGAACGTGTTCACGCTTATATTTGATACAGGGGAAGGATATAGACGTGTTCACGCTTATGTACGATTGTCCAAGTCCTTGGTGTGTTTTCGGTGTCTTCGAGAGGCTCTGCCTCCTTTAAGCAAATGCGTCTTCTTATATACCCATCGGACCAAACTGTAGTGTAGCGCAACTGTTTGTTTTACGGCTGGTTTGCATTTTGATGTCATTGTGTGCGTGTGAATTCTTGTTCTAATGTTTATTATTTTGTTTACAGCTGTTTTGACTTCGCCGTGCTTCATTTTAGCTGTGCGCACATTGCCCTCTCTTCTTTTAGCCGCTATATCTTTTGTTTTAATTTGACATTCGCTAGAACGTGTGTTCATGTTTGCTAAATTTTAAGTTGTAAATTAAGAAGAAGGTTATAATAAATAAACAAAAGTAATATTCATATTCCCTTGCTAGGTAGTCACCTTGTCGTGGTGTAGGGGCTTATTGTGGACTGAAGCATGTCATATGGAAGTCATGACATGATGATTTTTCATGTGACATGATTCAGCATACAAACTAAGAACTGCCGCCAACGCACAGGTTGAAAGTAGGTATCTACGATTCCTGATCAGTCGTTGAGGCTAGCTAGTGGACTTTAATGGACACTTGCTAATTGGTCAGTCATATAGGAAAGTGCGGCTATCTATCAGACCAATGACTCGCCTTCAGTACGGTCATGTCTCTGCTGTTTGTGGGTCGCCGATAGTCGGGCGGGGGTGTAGAAAATATAGTTTTCACATGAAATAAAATACAATACAACTGTATGCTGCGAGTGTGCATTTATTACTACTTTTAACAAAAAAGAATAATTCAATTATAAGTATAAAGTTAACAAAAAAAAAGAGATTAAAAATATTAATTTGTGATAAGAGATAAGTGATACTTATGATATTAAGAGATATTTTTTACATCCTGGGACCCGGCGAATCGCATATTAATTCAAGCGGATATAGTAGTTGAATAGGTCTTCTCATAATTTTCTGGTCTTTGAGTCTGACATCGCACGCTCTGGCACGCCCATCTCGTCCAATGTAAGTAGCTACCACCACTGCCATTCGCCAAAGAAGTCTTGATTGATGTTCATCTTTGACCAATACTACATCTCCAATATTTATAGATTTTGTTGGTTTAGATTTATTAAGATGAATTGAGCGTAATTGAGTTAAATATTCGTCCTGCCATCGTTTTAAGTAACGCTTTAAAATATAAGTTCGGGATTGCCACATTTTTGCTATAGTGCTGCCGTCAGACAAGAAATTTTCTTTGTTTAACACACCACATTCTCCCAAAAAATGTGCAGGTGTTAACGGCGCCAAATCGTTACAGTCAGTAGTAATATAGGTGAGTGGTCTTTGATTTACTACACTTTCTACTTCTGTTAGTAAAGTATCCATTTCGTAAAAAGTCAGCCTTGCTTTCCCAATTGCTGCCTTTAAACAGTTTTTTACAGTTCGTACAAGCCGCTCCCAAAATCCACCCCACCACGCTGCACGTTTTGGAATAAACTTCCACTTAATACCATTGGCTACAGCAAATTGGTTGATTCTGGTTTTCTCCATTAGTTGTTCAAGCTTTTGCACTTCCATACAACTTCTTTTAAAAATTTTCGCATTGTCTGATATAATAATAGAGGGGGTGCCACGCCTTGCAATAAATTTTCTTAGTGCGTTTATACAGCTTTCAACAGTTAAATCTGCTGCCAGCTCCAAATGGATTCCTCTAGTTGCTGCACAGGTAAACAACATTATATACGCTTTTTTAAAATCATTTTTGTTGTCAGTAGAAGTTATATATAATGGACCAGCAAAGTCTATGCCAGTGGTTTCAAATGGTTTGGATACAGTGACCCGTTCGATAGGTAAATCCGTCCAGTTTTCAGATGCATTTTTCCCATGCAGCCTTTTGCAAATTATACACCGCTGTACAACGCTTTTAATAAGTTGCCGGCCTTTAACAACCCAAAATCGCTTTCGAATCTTAGCTAAGGTAGCATTAATTCCACTGTGCATAAACTTTTGGTGCGCTTCCAAAACAATCAACTTAGATAAATATGACTCCTTTGGTAATATAATTGGATTGCTTAGATTTTCATACTCAGTCGTTGGTAAACGACAAGAAAGTCGCAGTAACCCATCTATTAAAACGGGATTCAATTGTAAAATTTTTGATTCCGCTCCAATTTTTTGTCCTTTCTTCAACGATATTATTTCTGACAAAAAATACTCACTTTGTGCACAACCAATCCAATAAACTTCCGCTTTATTTAATTCCTCTAGAGTCAAATCATCAATCTTCTCCAATTCAGTGTTGATAGATTGCTGAATTCCTTTATGTAACTCTTAACATTTTCCGTAAATTACTAAACTTTTGTATATCAAATATAGTTTCCTTAGATATATTGCAAACATTCTCTTCTTGAAGTACTTTTGTGATAAGAGTTGCGCTATCCTCAATTTTGCTTATATTCCATTCGTTGCTTTCCATGATAAGCCATGATGGACCCCATTTCCATAATTCTGACTGCATCAATTGTTTGGCTTTTATACCACGCGTTAACAGATCTGCTGGATTACATTTGCCATCACAATGACGCCAGTCATATACATTTGTTAGTTTGTTAATTTCGCTTACTTTTGAGCTGATATTTTGTTTTACGTGTTTACCGTCTCCAGTTATCCATTGCAGAGCTATACTTGAATCTGTCCACATGTTAATAGAAGAAAAATTTATGTTTAACTCAAGCTTTAAAAAATTTGCTAATCTGGCTGCAATAAGCGCGGCTGTTAGCTCTAACTTTGGTAAAGTGAGTTCGCTTTTATTTTTATTTTTAATAGGACTTACTCTGTTTTTAGAACATATAAGGCTTGTAAATAATTCGCCACTAGACAAAATTTCTCGTAGGTATGCAACAGCTCCGTATGCAATCGGGCTCGCATCTGCAAATACATGTAGTTGAATTGTTGACAAATTGGATCTTACCAGGCATCGACTAATAGTAAAATATTTTAAATTATGTAAATCATCACACCATTTATTAAAATCATCCGCTAAGCTTTCAGGTAAGGTAGAGTCCCAGTCTAAATTTTCTTTCCATATCCTCTGCAAAAGTGTTTTGATTTTTACAGTAAACGGACCTAAAAATCCTAAGGGATCATAAACTCCAGCCATAATCTTTAATACATTGCGTTTAGTGGGTCTTAAATTCCGAGAAATCTCTATACAGTGATCTAAATTTATAAATAAATTATCTTCATAAATGTTCCATAAAACGCCAAGCACCTTTTGTATCGGATGCTGCTCTTTATTATTTTCTTCAAATTTTCGTCGTAAGTCTTCGCTGTTGGAGGTCCATTTCCGCAAATTAAAACCACCTATTTTCATTATTTTCGTTGCTATGAGGTATAAATATTCAGCTTCTTGAACAGTTGATATACTAATTATTAAGTCGTCTACGTAAAATTAGTTTTTTAGTTTGTCACATATTAAACCATATTGCTCAACATTGCCTTGCAGATGTTGCTGCATTGTCGACGCTAACAAGAAAGGACTAGATGTTACACCAAAAGTTACCCTTGCCATTCGATAAGTTGCAATTTCCGCTGATTTGTTATCATCTCTTAAATTTTTATACCAGAGGAAACGATGACTATCTCTATCATTCTGATTTAATGAAATTTGTAAAAATGCTTTTTCTATATCTGCACTCATTGCAATTTTGTGACAACGAAATCTTAGCAATATCGAACTTAAATCTGCCAATAAGTTCTCACCTGAATCAAGCATATCATTGAGGGATCCATTCCTGGGTTACTTGAAGAGGCGTCGAACACAATGCGCATTTTTGTTGTAATTTTATCTTCTCTGTACACTGGACGATGCGGCATGTAATATGTTCTCTCATTACTATGGCCATCTGGTACTTCCTCTGCTATTCCAGACTTAATTAGCTCGTGTATTCCAGTGTCGTATTCGATTAGTTTATTATGATCTTTAAATAATTTAGAACTAAGAGTTTTGAGTCGATTTAGAGCATTATTTTTATTATTATGAAGGTAGACATCCTTATCATATTTCCATGGTAGGCTTACAGTATAACGTCCATTAATTTTCGCTAAATTTGCTTTTTTAAGAGGTTTTGTACATTCGGGGTATGATTTAATCCCAACGGATTCTAAATCCCAAAATTTAGAAACGTCAAAATCGTTTGAATCTTCGATAACATTCAATACATATTTCGTTTGAGTTTGATTATCTGAACAGCCTTGAATTGTCCAACCGAAAAATGTTTCAACTGCAACCAAATTCTCAGTAATATATTCACAATTATCAGAGTTGAATTGCCAATAATTGTCTTGGCCAATTAATAAATTAATACCAGTCATTTGTTTTACATTTGTGACTACATTTTCAGCCATGTTTTTAATTTTATCATATATGTCACCAGGAACTGGTATAACATCAGCACATATATTTTGCACAACTGAAGCATAAATTTCTTTAATTTCATCGGAATATTGGCTTTGCACTTTTAATATTACACGTTTTATTTGCTTAACTTTTCTATTGTGGCTACTTTGGCCAAACGAAATAATTCGTGTGTTATCAATACCTACAACCGGTAATTGTAGCTGCTTTGCCAAATATTCGGTAACATATGTTCCTTGACTTCCATTGTCCATAATCACTCTTGTTAAACATTTAGATTCATCACTTGAAACTATCGCTTTAGCGGTTTGTAAATAAACTTCATTTTTTCCAACATTTGACATTGTGTTCAGAGCTGCTGATGAATTTGATGTGCTCGTTTCAGGCAATGCTGGTTTTTCCGTTGTAGTTGTTACCGATTGGCGTTCAACCAAATTGTCTACGCTGTTTAATTTAAACGTTTTATTCTCACAAATGGCACTCATATGGCGACCACTGCAAATGGAACATTTTATCCACTGATTTTTACAAAATGTAGAAGTATGATTTGCCTTACCACATCTGAAGCACCTACCTTGACCTTTTAATATATTTTTCTTTTGATTAATTCCAATTGTTTTGTGTTTGCAATCACTTGTATTATGATTTGCGCGTTTACAAAAAATGCAATTTCTGTAAATTTGTTCAGAAGAATATAAACCAACGGCTGTGCCTCGTGCTGTCTTTGTTTTGTCATTTTCCCTTTTATCTGCATTGCAGTGAGTTGACATTGTTGCTTTTTCTAATGCTTCTACTTCAATTCTGATATGTTCTAATAACGTTATCAGCTGATCATCATATATTATTTTTGTTATGCTTTCACCTCTTTTTTTCTCTTTATGAAATTCTACTCTTATATTCGGAGGAATTGCTTTTAATATTAAAGAGTATACCATGATAGTATATTGAGAAGAAGGAACGCCGAGAGCCGTGAGTGTTCTAATTGATGATTTTGTTTCATTATACAAACTTCGTAAACCTTTTATATTTGATGATGAATGTACAGGTTGAATTTGGATGTACTTTTCGATTATCTTTTCTCTGTCTCCATATTCTTCCAACAACAAATTTAAAGCGTCTTTGTAACATGCTTCTGTTGGAATGAATCCCGCTATTTTCGCCGCTGCTTCACCGACTAACGCTTCATTTAAATAATTAAATTTTGTTGCTGCATCTAGCTTTTTATTATCATGTACAGCTACTTTAAATTGCTCCCAAAAGGGCAACCAACTTTCAAATGCTCCGTTAAATTTTTTCAATTCTATAGGTTTAAGTCTGACTCCATTACTGTTATTGGAATTTTCAAAGCCCTGAATTATACTTTCCTTAAGGTCTGAGTGAAATGGTTCGTTGCTGGAAATCTTCAGCCGCTGTATGTTGTATTCAAGTTTCGCAATAACTGCTATTGCTTTGTCATCATAATCAATTACTATGTCAAAATCTTTGTCATCCTGAACCATTTCATCAGCCTTTTTCAACTTTTCGTGGGCGTTCTGAAGCCGCTTCAGGTTAATAGCCAGACCTTCTTCAGTAATGTTATCAGGCTCGTTCAAATAATTATTGATCTGATTACACAACTTTGTAAGTTGTGTGCGGCACGATGTCCTATATAGTGGGTCGCTCATATTTTATGATGAATTTTATTTTACGATAAAATTTAAGTATTTAAGTTTCTTTTACACTCGCCCGTTAGATATTCTTCGTTTATAATTTTGATAGAAATTTCTTTTTTAATTCGCTTCTAAATTTTACGATAAAATTTAAGTATTTAAGTTTCTTTTACACTCGCCCGTTAGATATTCTTCGTTTATAATTTTGATAAAAATTTCTTTTTTTTTAATTCGCTTTTTAATTAAATCGCTTTTTACTTGCACTATTATATTAGAATATCGACAGTTGTCTTCCCGGGTTTCGGCACCATGTAGAAAATATAGTTTTTACATGAAATAAAATACAATACAACTGTATGCTGCGAGTGTGCATTTATTACTACTTTTAACAAAAAAGAATAATTCAATTATAAGTATAAAGTTAACAAAAAAAAAAAGAGATTAAAAATATTAAGTGATATTTATAAGAGATAAGTGATATTTATGATATTAAGAGATATTTTTTACAGGGGGAGAAGGAAAACTCCCTAGGGCAGGGTCTGTACATATTCTAGGCTCCCAAGGCTAGGTCTTGATAGACTGGAGTATGAACAAACCTATTGCCCCAAACAAATCCCCTAAACTCACAGTGGAACAGCTATGCTGGTGAACTTACTTGACAGGGTAGAGTCAAGCTTAATAGCGAACTCCGTATCAGGTCTGGCAAACCTACGGTTTCAATTTGTCCATCCCATGGGGGCGCTCATGGGTGACCAACCTGCACGGTTTATTAAAACTTATTCTAAACAACATTTTCAATTCTATGGACTGCACACCTTTAAATGTGCAAAATATGGCTTTACACAGCCAAAACTTATCACTGACCGAGAGGGCACCTGGTACCATCGACAGTGAACAACTTGTTGGAGAGGGCACCTGGTCCTCTACCCGACAAGCCGGAGGAAATGGACATTCTACTTAGCCAGGAGTCGGCTGGAATGTCTATTTCCTCGGAACAGGAGAGAGATCTTCTGGAGCCTGGTCCAACTAAAAAGACTCAAACGAGGGTGAAGCTATCCGGCGCTGAACGCAAAAGGTTGAAGGCTTTACTTGCCAAGTGCATCCCGTTGGAAACAGCAAGGTCCTTGGCAATAAAGCCGGCCACTGCGACTAACGAAGGGCAGGCAACAGCAAAAAGATCCCGATCGGACAGCTCTACACCAACATCGAGCTCAAAACCGACAAAGCGGATTGCATTACAGGGCAAGAAAGTTGATAACAAATCAACAGTGCCTGCAACTGCTTTGCCGATTTTCAGTAGGATGAAGGAAGTAGAGACCTCACACGGGGGCAAACCTGGTCCCAGTAGAGAGGTGGCAACGGTATCTGTGGGGCAGGCTAAACAGAGTACTTCTTCCGAAGACCATTGTTCAAAGCCTACCCTAGCAGAGACTGTTCGCTCTAAGAAGATCGGTATACTACCGCACAACTTCCCAGAGGGCATTTGGTCCAATGAGGACATTGGCAAGGTGCAGAAATGCATCCTCGACAAGATGTACGAAACTTGTCGAGCTCCTGGGTTGAAGCCCCAGACCACTGTAACTTGGTCTAAAGAGACAATCCCAGCTTTGAAGCCGTGGGAAGAAGCCCAACTGAAGGTAGTGGACGAGGCAGAAGTGCCAAAGTCTGAAATCTATGTTGGCTACTTCGCAGGCTCAGCTTCCTGGCAAAGTGACCGTATTCTGGGACAAATTGAGTGCCAAAATTCGGGCATGCGTGTCGGGATCCTATGTCGTCCGAAATGGTCGGAAAGCTGGGCAATAAAGTCTTCTATGGACTTAGCAGTGCCGTGCTGAGACGAAGACATAAAGGAAACAGAGCAAAGGAAGTGGATGAGCGATCAACAACATCTGCGGCTTGTGCTCAGTCAAGCAACCAGAAGCCGAAAAGACCCGGAGGCCGCGGAATTGCTGCGCGGTACGAAGGGCGCCAAGGTCTGCAAGGGCCAGTCTGGGATATAATGTCCCGGACTCCGCCATATCCGCAAAACTCTGGGAGGTAACTTCATTGCCTCCAAATTAACCTCCACCGGGGTATAACAGCTTCATATAGGCTCAGTGCCCTGGTGGAACAACACTGTCTGGATTTTGTGGCCATCCAAGAACCATGGGCCACAAAGGGGCGCATAAACGGTCTACAGACAAAAACGTGTAAGTTAATCTATGATAATAATGTTGATCGTCCTAGAACGGCGATAATGATTAACAAAACCATTAAATCTCTTCCAATTACAGAGCTCATACAGCGTGATCTGGTGGTGGTACAGACAGAAGAGCCTAGTACTAGGGGGACGAGAATAATTGTTTCTGCATCTCTGTACTTCCGTGGCGACGCAGAGGAAGCGGTGTCTCTCGAGCTCTAGCAGCTTATAGAATACTGCCGTATCCGAAATCTACAGTGGGTAATGTGCTACGACGCCAACGCACACCGTATGGGGAAGCACAGACAAAAAGTACACGAGGTGAGTCACTTTTTGATTATATCACAACTAACAATTTAATGGTAGTTAATAAAGGTAACGAACCTACTTTTGTAAATGCGATAAGGGAAGAGGTATTAGATCTCACTTTAGCAAGCGCATTTATATCTAATAACATTTTAAATTGGAGGGTGTTGGAGGAGAACTCCTTATCAGATCACAGATATATACGCTTTGATTTGGAATTGGAAGTTGAAGACACTTTCGAAATAAGAAATGTTAGGAAGACCAACTGGTCTCTATATAACTTCTATTTAGAACAAAACATTAGTTGCCTTGGGAATAGGATTACTAATTGTCAGGAACTAAATCTTGAGGTTAACAAACTAGAAAATATTATGACAGGGGCTTTTGAAAATGGCTGCGAATTTATCAAAAAGAAACGTTCTAGGAACGTCCCATGGTGGAATAGGGAACTTGATATTTTACGCAAAAAAGCCCGCCAGCTCCTTAATAGCGCCAAGTCCAATGGGGACTGGGCATCTTACAAGTGTGCCTTAACGGCTTACAATAAGGAATTGAGGAAATTAAAGAGGGAATCATAGAAGAGGCACTGCGAGGAGACTGAAACACTTCCTGTGGCTGCGAGACTCCAGTAATATCTAAATAAAGACCACTCAAATAGCCTCTCTACATTAAAGAAGGTTGACGGAAGCTTTACCGTAAGTCTGGAAGAAACGGGAAAGCTTTTGCTGGACACTCATTTTCCAGCCTGCGCCATGTATACTGAGACTACGGAAACCATCGAGGATACTCGTTTCTTATTGGTTACACGAAGAGATCTTTCACTGGCCCGTAAAATCTTTACAGTCAATAAAACTAAATGGGTCATTTCCACTTTCAGCCCGTTTAAGTCACCTGGTATCGATAATATACAACCGTGTCTTCTTCAGAAAGGCGTTGATATATTAGCACCGATATTAACAAACCTATTTAGGATATGTCTAGAATTAGGCATAATACCTGTTTATGTTTGCATTTAATTAATATTATTTAATATTTTTGTTTTTTTTTGTTATTTGGTTACATGTGTTTACATATTATTTGGGCCAACACTGCGACCAGTCATTGACCAACGAAAAGTACAATTTTGCATTATCAGCTTTTCTTGTTGGTCAATGCACTGAAGAAAGTGTGTAATATGTTGGCCTATAATTATGTCACCAAAGCGTAGGCAAATTTATTTATTTGTGAATTATGCATTAATATTTATTGTTAATTAATGCATAATTTAATAGCTTTTTTATAAAATAATTTTTGTATAAATATAAGAAATAATTTTAATAAAGTTCAGAAGGAAAAGAAAAAGAAACGAAATCAATTATAACTTTCTTACTTTCTCGTATCGATTACTTTGGGTTTCAAGTGCTCAAACTAATCAACATAGAAAATACAAGTAGTTTGAGTTATAAGTGCTCAAACTACTTTACACACAAAAATTGGCTACCAAGCTAACACAGATTAAGGATCTGGGTTAGCACCAAGTAGCGTACATTTTTTGGTGACCCCGAAGTGATTATTGATATAATATCAATTTTCATTTCATTATCCTGACGAAGAACACTTCAAAGGAGTCAACTGTCTACCAAAAGGTCTACTCATTAACCATTTGAAGTATTTATTGGAATTTTCGGACCGAAAATTCAAACATCGCTGTGGATGCGTTATTAAAGAAGCAGTCAGAGCTCGGTACAGAGATTGAGCGACTGATAACCAATTTCAAAAAGGATTCTAGTACCCGCAAGCAGGATACCACATATTATGAAGAACGACTCAAGAAGCTAAATTTCCTATGGAATGATTTTGAAATAAATGATGTTGAAATCAAAGCATTGCCACATCCTGAACTCGAACACGAATATTTCAGTACAGGTTACTTTGAAAAAATCTCCAATCTAGTAATCAAATATGATGAACGATTCAAGTTGGAGAAATCAAGGCTACTCCTGAAACCACAGGACGGGAAGCCAGTAGTAAGCCCAAGAGGGTCAAACAAAGCTACATCGCTCATGCGAAACATCAAAAAGCAATCCTCATTAATGCATGCATTACGCGCAAGCATAGATGAAATTTATGAGGAAATTACCATAAAACATCATCCTAGTTATTATGATCTGAAATATTCTCTGATAGAAAAATATCAGAAGGATCTGAGGAATAACAATGATGAAATATGGCTATCAGCCGACGCAGAAGACATCGCCGGATATACTTGGGATCAATACTATTCAACGTATAAAGATGCCCAAAAAGCGTTAATATATTGAAAACAACACAGTCAACCAACTGAAGGATTGACGTCAGAGGGGCCTACAGCAACTCAACAAATCAGACTTCCAAAAATAGTTTTACCAACATTTGATGGAGACTATTTGAAATGGATTGAATTTAGAGATTTGTTTCAACAATTGATCCATGATCAATCAATAAGCGCAGCCCACAAAATGTTCCATTTATCTACAAACTTGGCAGGTGAGCCGAAAGCCCTCATACGGCATCTGCCAATTTCCGAGCAAAATTATAATATAGCTTGGGATATTCTGTCAAATCGGTATGACAACAAACGACTCTTGGTGACAGCATTACTAAATAAATTGTTATCACAACCAAATATAACAATTGAATCAGCAAGCAGTCTTAAGGGCATACATGATGTTACAAAAGAATGTTATTATGGATTAGCAGCTCAAGGTATTGATGTTAAATCTTGAGACGCCATAATGGTTCACGTAATTATTAGAAAGCTAGACAAAGCTTCACATACAGCATTCGAGCAATCGTTAGAAGACAGCCGAAGAATAATTTCATTAAAAGAATTATTGCGGTTCCTAGAAGGAAGATTTCAGGTATTCGAATCAATGACGAATGGAAACCACAAACAAAGTCACAAACCACGACATCCAGCAGTAGCACTTGCAGCTACAGACTCAGTATCAAAATGTATTACTTGCAATAGCAGTCATCAATTATTTTCATGTGAAACTTTTAAACGTAAATCCATACAACAGAAATATGATTTACTAAAACGTCATAAATTATGCACAAACTGCATGAAACCTGGTCATATGGCATTATAATGCTCCAGCAGTGGTTGTACTATATGCCAAAGAAGACATAATATACTGTTGCATCAAAATAGACACCCAGTTCAACCATCAAATCATAAGTTAGTTGAAAACACTTCAAGGCCACTTGCACAAACAACTCTAATGTCATCCATCAAACATGGTCATACCAGTTGCGTTCTCTTGGAAACAGCAAAACTTTTAGCCTCCAACTCTAATGGAAGAACAGTCGAGTGCAGAGCAGTATTGGATTCAGGTTCACAAATAAATATTGTGACTGAACGACTGGCATCCAGATTGGGTCTGCAAGTAAGCTCCAGTTCGATTTGCATCGAAGGCATAGGGATAGGTAAATTGAGTTCTAAAAGTCGTACAACAGTTTCTGTGCAATCAAAAGTGACCGATTACAAAACAATACTTGAAGCATTTGTGTTGCCAAAAATTGTATCCAATCAACCATCGCAACACTTACAAATTTCAAATTGGAATCTGCCCAATAACATCCAATTAGCAGATCCTACATTCTATAAGTCTGACAAAATTGATATGTTGCTTGGAGCAGAATTTTATCATCAACTCCTAAGTCCTGGTCAAATACAACTTTCAAGGGAACTACCAATTCTACAGAACACTGTGCTCGGATGGATCGTATCTGGAAAAATCCAAAATGCTAACACAATGATTGCAACATGTAGAATAGCATAAGAAGATAGTTTAGAAAATGCAATAGAACAACTTTGGAAGGTTGAAGAAGTTGATACTCACTCAAAGGTCTTGTCAATAACAGAGCATCATCCATCATTTGATGCATCATCCAAAACAACATCAGGGCAATCTCTCAACGATTTACTACACACCGGACCAACTGTTCAAAGTGAATTACTATCTATTTTATTACGATTCCATCTTCCTCGTTATGTGTTTACAACAGACATTGAAAAGATGTACCGACAAATACTTGTACATCCAGAAGACAGACAATGTCAGCTTATCGTTTGGAGAAATGAACCAAGTCAACCTATAAAATACTTTGAACTCAACACAGTAACATATGGTACTAGATCAGCACCGTATCTAGCAACCAAATGTTTGCAAGTTTTGGCTGATGACAATATGCAAAATTATCCATTAGGTGCATCTGCTCTCAAACAAAACTTCTATGTAGATGACTGTTTACACGGGGCAGATAGTCTGAGAACATTGTTAGAAACTCAGAGTCAATTAAACAAAATACTGACAGCAAGCGGTTTTAAATTGCGAAAATGGTGCGCAAATCATCCAAGTCTACTACAAGGAATTCCACACGATGACTTAGAAGTCAATTTAGATTTAGAAAATAATAACGATACAACAAAAACTCTTGGATTATCCTGGTGTCCAAAATCTGATAGTTTATGCGTGAAGGTTAAATTAGAACCTGTTTGCAGCACGACGAAGCGCAGTGCAACCTCAGATATAGCAAGGCTATTTGATCCACTAGAACTTTTGTCACCAGTTGTGGTGATGGCAAAGATCTTTATTCAAGAATTATGGAATTTAAAGATGGATTGGGATGAAAAACTGCCGACTGAATTACATAAACAGTGGTTAGAGTTCCTGAACAATTTGACAAAAGTAAATTGTCTGCAGATATCTCGTCATATTTTCAAGGGCGAAGTTCCTGCCAACATTCAATTACACATCTTTACAGATGCATCAGAAAAGGCAAATGGCGCTGCGGCGTATTTGCGACCAATGCTTCAGAATGGTCAAATTATTGTACGATAATTGTGCGCCAAATCTCGGGTTGCACCTTTGAAAAGGTTGACGTCACCTCGTCTCGAACTTTGTGCAGCTGTGGTTGGTGCAGAACTAGCAACAAGAATAAAGAACGATCTACAAATAAGAAATTACCAGACGTTCTTTTGGTGTGATTCACAAATAGTGATATCATGGATCAACTCTCCATCATCAAAATTTCACACTTTCGTTGCAAACAGAGTAAGCAGCATTCATCAATTAACAGCCACAAGTCAGTGGCGCCACGTCAGTTCGGAACACAATCCAGCTGACATTTTATCAAGAGGCCTTGCACCCCATAAACTACAGTCATCAAATATGTGGTTTTATGGACCTATGTTCTTGCATGGTCGGGAAGAACTGTGGCCTTCAAAACCGTCATCAGCGTTAAAATCCGAAATCCTCATTGATTCTGAACGGAAGAAGGAAACTCAGGTATCTACATTGTCTGTTGTTGAAGGCACAGCAAATCCTGAAAAGTTCATATACTCAATACGACACAACAACTCATTTGGAAGACTTCAACGGATATTATCGTATATATTAAGATTCGTAAAAAGAACCAGAAGAAAACAAAATGATTATTCAAGCAATTTTTTGACTCCAGATGATCTAGATGCAGCACATCAGGTCATCATCAAAAGTATTCAATATGCAGAATTTAAAAATGAAATCAAAATTATGAAATCTAATGGAAGAATAAATAAGTCCAGTGCATTGGCAGCACTGGCACCTTTTATTGATAATACGTGCATCATAAGAGTTGGTGGACGTTTGGATGCAGCCTCATTATCGTATGACGTCAAACATCCTATGTTGTTGCCTTATAACGACCCCATTGTCAAATTAATAATGGAACAAGTCCATAAGAAATACATGCACTGTGGTCCGCAGTCTCTCCTAGCTAACATGCGTCAACGATACTGGCCAATTAAGGGCAAATTGATGGCAAGGTCAATAGTACAACATTGTGTACGTTGTACTAAAGTAAGACCACGATTTTATGAACAACTGATGGGTAATTTGCCAGCGACAAGAGTACAACCTGGGCGACCATTCCTCACCACTGGAGTGGACTTTTGCGAACCTTTTTGGATACATTACAGAATCCGAGGCAAGAAACCACACAAGGCATACATTGCTGTGTACTGTTGTTTTACAACTAAGACAGTTCACCTCGAAGTAGTTAGCGATTTAACCACAAATGCATTCATCGGATCGCTGAAACGTTTTATTGCTCGAAGAGGACACTGCAAAAATTTGTTTTGTGATAATGCCACAAATTTCGTGGGAGCACGCAATCAATTACTTGAACTTGCAGACTCAATTCAAATAAGCAAGGCGCAAGAGAAGATAATTAACGAATGTAATGAAAGAGGAATAACATTTAAATTTATACCTCCTCGTGCACCACACTTTGGTGGACTGTGGGAAGCAGCAGTCAAATCAGCAAAACACTTATAGATACGAAGTACTAAGACGACTTCACTAACATATGAGGAACTAGAGACTGTGATGCAAATGTCCAATCAGGAAATATAAATTTGGTGACAAGGTGGAAATTAGTTTCTCGCCTCAAATTGGACTTTTAGGAACGTTGGAAAACCGAGTACCTCACTGAACTACAATGTCGACACAGATGGAAAGCAGCCAATCCAAATATAAAAGAAGGTACCCTTGTAATCATCAAGAAAGATGATGTTCCTACATTAAAATGGCCGCTTGGACGTATTTCAAAGGTATATAAGGGAGATGACGGTCTTGTTCGCGTGGTTGATGTTAAAATGGCTTCAGGAACTCTAAGACGTCCTTTGACAAGACTAGCGCCTCTGTTTCCATCCGATGAACAATCTCCTGTTTCTGATGAACAACTTTCAAAAAGTTTTACAAAAGCGAATTCGAAAACACCACACGAAGGCGCAGATGCCATTGGTATCAGGGAATTCAGTGAATGTAACACGTTTCGACAATAATTTAGGAATATACATTGAATCCATTGGCTTGATGAAAGTAGCAACGGCAGAATGGAAAATGATTGTTTACTATGATCTTCATCCATATTGGACCGAAATGGACTCCTTGAACAACGGGACTAAAACCATCAAACGTTTATGTTCAGAATTGCAAACACATACAGCATGTACTTCTCTCTATACTCATTTTAAACATGTAAGAGATTAGTTGTTGCAAGACCAAACATTATTATATAAAAGCCGGAACAAGCGAGCTGCAATTAACATAGTAGGAAATATTGCACACACCTTATTCGGAGTGCTTGATTCAGACTACGCTGAGAGCATGTCTGACACAATAAATCAACTTAACAGTAGAGATGATTATGCAATGCAGTTAATTCATAATCAAACATCTATTATAGATTCCACAATAAATATAATCAAACGAGATGAAGTTACCATGCAGTCCCGAATGAATCATTTGCAAAAGCAGGTTGATGAGTTTCAGAATAGAATTGGAACTGCAACAGAACAGATACATGTCACTCAATTACTACTTTCATTATCTGCAGAACTCACATTAATGGTATCCAATCTTCAACACATCCAGTCGGAGATAATTAATGTGCTTACAGATACACATCATGGGAAAATCAGTCCACTGCTATTAACTCCTGATCAATTAACAAAGGAGATTAACAGAATCAAAGGCCACTTACCATCATCGCGTACATTACCGTTCACAGAAGACAATTTGACCGATTTTTACAAGCTAATGAAAGTGAAGTCAACAATTAAAAATCAGCATGTATTATTTTTAATACAACTACCACTGCTAGACAAGCAGCAATTTGAATTGTTCAAGACAACACCGATACCGGTTGTAATAAACAAAACCATGATAATTATCAAAACTGAAGTGGAGTACTTGGCAACCAACACTTACAACCAATGCTTACATTTGGACCTACGTGCATCATTAAAAACGCAGAAATAACCATACATGACCACTATTTTATGTCCAGCACTGTATCCACGTCATTTCCACGATTTGGAAATTTATCAACAGTTGTACACATTAATGAGATGCAGAAAATCTTCAATACAACACCAAATGATGTAGAAACACAACTCAAGGAACTCACAGAATTACAAAACCAGCTAACTAAGGAAAACTTGACGTATCTTCACTCTAGAGTGCGATTAAACAGTATTCATCATCATACGATAAGTTATTTGGCGTTGTTAATTTCTATAACAATAATAATAATCATTACTTGGAAAACTAAACATAACATATGTCAGAAACACACAATAAGCGAAATTTCAACACGAGAAAATGATATGCAGAATGCAGAATTACGTTAACAAAATTTGGACTTCACTGTGACCACAACCTAGGACAAGTTGAGTTGGCACTCAACGGCGGGGAGAATATTTATGTTTGCATTTAATTAATATTATTTAATATTTTTGTTTTTTTTTGTTATTTGGTTATATGTGTGTAAATTATAAGCGTTTTTATAATTGGGTTTTATGATCTTTATTTCAATTTCTTTAACACAATGTAATTTATAAACGTTTTTATAATTGGGTTTTGATTTCATTTAATTTATACAATTGAATTTATACAATTTCGGTTATTGATTGTTTAATCACTTTTTTATGTGTACCCGTGTGTTGACACGTTCGCGATCGAAAAACAAGAGACAGAATCAAACCAACGGAGTTTACTTGCAGCCAAAAAATATAACAATAAAATTTGCTCATCTCGAGCGCAAAAAACAAAAGGCAATAAAACAAGACTTAGAACCGTTGGTTTGATTACATCTTATACAGGGTTAGTTAGATAAATTAATTAACCATATATTAACCATATAAAATATTATATATATATATGAATTATATAATATATTAATTATAATAATTTAATTATACAATATGATTTACAATAGATTAAAATATAATAAATTATAATATATAAATCATATAACACATCAATTAATAATTCTACAGAATCCTACAATATTAACAATTTGACTTTAACCGCTCTAACATCCCGCCCCCCTTGAAAGGATTTTCAATTGGTAATAGTGCGAGTTTGTGGATTGGACGGCGTATTACTCCTTTTGGGGTTTGCACATCAACAACACGAACCAAATTATCTGGACCCCTGATGCAATGCACGATTCGGCCCATCAACCAGCGTAGTGGAGGCATATTGTCTTCATGGATTAGAACCAGAGCCCCCTCGGTGATGTTAGATTGTTCTTCTGTCCATTTGGTGCGTATCTGCAGCTCATTCAGATAGTCTCTAGACCATCTGCGCCAGAAGTGATGTTTGACTGCGGTTATACGAGACCATTTATCAATTAATGAAGCAGCTTCATACTGAGGACTTGGTTCAGATAAAGTTTTGAGCGGCCCACCGATAAGAAAATGTGCCGGCATTAGCGCTTCGTAATCGCTCGGGTTACAAGAATGAGGTGTGATTGGTCGCGAATTTAAGATGGCTTCGATTTCAATCAGTGCTGTTCCAAGCTCCTCAAAGGTGAATCGAGTATTTGATAGTGTTCGATACAGATGGCCTTTCGCACTTTTTACAGCCGCTTCCCATAGACCTCCAAAGTGAGGTGCTCGGGGCGGTATAAAATTGAAATTTATGAATTGGTTGCTGCAAAAGGTGTGCAGCATCACTTGATTAGACTTCTCGAAAAACATCCTTTTTAACTCTGCTAGTTTGTTGTTAGCCCCAACGAAGTTTGTGGCGTTATCGCAATAGATGTCTGATGGTAACCCTCGTCTACCGATTAACCTTTTCAGTGCTGCAATAAATGCCTCCGTAGATAAGTCTGACACGGCTTCTAGATGAGCTGCCTTTGTAGACAAACAAACGAACACGGCTATATAGGTCTTATATGGAACCCGTCCCCGAATTCGGAGATACGTTAATATCGGACCGCAAAAATCTACCGCAGTACGCGCGAAAGGACGACTTGGAGTGAGGCGTTCGATTGGGAGATTACCCATCATTTGATTAAGTAGTTTGGGTTTATAACGCACGCAGTGAATACACGAGTGCACGACTCGGCGTGCAATTTCTCGAATATTAATTATCCAGAAGTTTAGTCGAGTAAGGGCAATTAGTGCCTTTGCGCCTGCATGATAGTTGCACAAGTGTACATGCCGAACATAAAGTTCCACAAAATAACAGCCCTTCGGCAACAAAATAGGGTGACGTTGGCCTACTGAGATGTCATTCAGCTCGAGGCGACCTCCCACCTTTAGTAATTGATAACCGAATACATTGTCCAGGAAGGGATTTAGATGCTTTAATGTACCTTCGGCTGGGTTCCCTCGTTGTAGGCGTTGTATATCAATTTCGAAGAATTGCTGTTGGATGACCCAAATAATACAGTGCAATGCCTTTTGTAGCTGAATAGGTTGAAGGGTACATTCTCCGTTCTTCAATTTATTCTTGGTTACATGATAAAATCGCTGTACCTGCGCTATTACTCGTAGCATCTTAGTGTATGAACTATATCTTGACAATACCTGTAATACGTAGTTGTCTTCATTTGTGTTAATGAATACAACCTTCCGCGTCTCTTTATTGACTTCTTCCATATCCAGGTTGTGACATTTCAAATGCGGCCAGTATTTATCAGCGAGTAACAAAAATTCCGGCCCCGTAAACCAACAAGACTCTGATAATTGGCGGATGTTACAGCCGCGCGACACAACATCTGCCGGGTTGGATTGGGTAGGAACGTGTCTCCATTGCCCATTTGCGGTAATATCTTGAATTTCCGCTACTCGATTGCCAACGAATGCAGACAGGGTTGATGAGTGCTGCTTCAACCAATGTAATACAATCTGTGAATCAGTCCAAAAAAACGTTTCACCCTTAAATTGCGCAAATATTGGTTGGACCTTCTGATACAGTTTGGCAAGAAGTAAGGCACCACAGAGTTCTAGTTTAGGTAGCGACTTCCGCTTTATAGGTGCCACACGGGATTTTGCAGTGAATAGCCTGACCGTCACCTTACCTGATGTGTTTTGTGATCGGAGAAATATACAGCAACCATATGCGCGTATTGAAGCGTCACAGAAACCGTGTACATCAACCTGTTGATAGTTTATGGATAGGCAGTATCTCGGCACCTTAACCGATGAAAGCGTTGTAAGATCTTGAATAAATGTTTTCCAAGCTGAGTGAAGATTTTGAGGGACTGACTCGTCCCAGTCCACACGCAAAAGCCACAATTCTTGCATCATAATTTTGGCTACGAGTATGATCGGTGCTAGTAATCCAAGCGGGTCGAATAATGAAGACGCAAGGGATAAGATGGTGCGTTTTGTTACAATATGACCTGGTTGTGCATTGAACGAAAATAGGAAAACATCTTGCATTTGGTGCCACTTGATGCCTAGAGCGCTGGTGACGGTATCTGTATCAAGATTCAAACTCTTTGTTGTAGTATCGCTGATGAAGTCATGATGGTTTGAATGCCATTTGTCAAGATCGAAGCAACCCTTCTGTAGAATGGCCGTTAACTGATGTCTGATATTGGTGAGTTGATCAATGGAATCTGCTCCACCTAAGAAGTCGTCGACAAAAAACGATGATTTAATGAGTGCAGCGCCTATTGGGTATTGTGTTTCAAATTTGTCCGCCAAATACTGCAAACTCCTGGTTGCTAGGAAAGGTGCTGATGCAGTACCATAAGTGACTGTATTCAACTCGTAAGTACTAACAGGATCGGACTCCGTATCTCGCCAAAAAATATATTGGAATTTTCGATCTGGTTCATCTATCAGTATCTGTCGGTACATCTTAACAATGTCAGCCGTCAAGGCATATCGGTGCAAACGAAATTGAAGTAGCAACAAATATAACTCCGGCTGAATTGTCGGGCCGACCAGTAGAATATCATTTAATGAACGTTGCGAAGTTGTTGGACATGACGCATCAAAAACCACCCTCAGCTTGGTCGAAGTGCTCGACGGTTTTAAAACACAGTGATGAGGGATATAATAATGTGGTTCGTTGGTTTTCGGAGTCTCAACACGCGTCATGTGTCCGAGCTCTCGATATTGTTTCATGAATTCTTGATAGTCTTGCTTCAGTGCACGATTAGATGACAATCGCCGTTCTACAGAACAAAAACGGCGTAAGGCGATATTGTGTGTCAAACCAAGACAATCTGGCGAATCTTTGAATGGTAACCGAACGACAATTCTTCCCATCGCATTTTGGTGGACCGTTTCACGATATAATGACTCACACGCAACATGTGCTGGTGACCATGACTTTGAAGCCGGTTGCACTTCCTCTATCTTCCACATCATTTCTAATTGATCGGAGACTGTATCTTCAACTGATAATAGGCATTTTGCTGATGGTGATGCAAATGGCTGACCCTTGTACTTGCCAGATACAATCCATCCTAATAGTGTTTTTTGAAGTACTGGAAGATTTTCACCTAGTTTGATTTGACCGACAGACAAAATATCAAAGAAACTTTCAGCTCCAAGCAAGAGATCAACGCGCTTGGATTTAAAGAATTGCTCATCGGCGAGAGGTGTATTTGGTGGAACCTTCCACGACGATATATCGATTTCAGAACTTGGTTGATATGCGATGTGATTCGTAATACCAAAGTTTAAAGCAAGTTCAAGATTTGAATGACGAGATTTGATTGATGTGAGCGTCTGATACTTTGTGTTGGTCAACGAACTACCAATACTGGAAACATGCAACCGATGTTTATGTTTTGCTAAACTAAGCTTCTTTGAAAACTCCTCCGTTATGAAGTTGACCTGAGAGCATGAATCAAGTAAGGCTCTACCCACTTGATAACTTCCCGATGAATCCTTCACTAAAACCAATGCAGTGGCTAGAATTATTTGCTCGGCCGATGACATATTAAGATGGGAATGGCTGGCAACGTTGTCGTTGGGCATAGCAGCGTGTTCTGTGCGTCGTGATGATCC